CGCGTTTGCATTGTATGTTTTTTTCCCCTCCATACAATGGAAATCAATGCTAATCAAAACTATTTGGTTACTCAACATGCTCAGAAGAAAGCCCAACAGTTTTTGAATGACATGAAGTATGAAAAAAATGACAATTTTCTTTTTTGGGTGAACTATTCTTTTAAATGGGTTTTATATCCTAAACGATTTACATGGGAGATACAAACGATACTAAATGTAAAAGCAATGTTTTGAGGGAAAATATGACAACGTATTATTTGAGTCGTAATGTGCTGCAAAATAACAAATGCATTTTCGAAGATATTTAATGTCCCTACCCATTTATGCTTTAAATGCTATATGCAAACAGTACAATTATAACCTTGTTGTGGATGGAAAATGTTTATGCTCATAAAAGTGACTTTTGAAAATGTCTCACAATGGCACCACTTTAGGCTACAGCAATGTAAAGATATGATTTATTTACAATTAATAGCCTAAACTAAATGTACATTTGGTGATAACAATGAATATGTATTACTACTAGTCATGGGAAGCAGTATAAACTCACCTCCCGTCAGATCAGACAAGCAGCATTCTGGTAATTACAGTACATTGTATCATGCAAAACCTTTTTGCAATAAATAATCATTCAAATCTGCAGATTATTTTTAAATGGCTGATGGAGGAGCTGCTTATATGAGATGTTTTAATAGACATCAAGTACCAAAACACTAAAGCAGGTGCTGCACTTACTTATTCACATATAAACTTACAACCTGCTCGTTGACAGCTGACACTGTTAAGTAGGTCACAAATATTTTACTAAGGAGCAGACATAATTGATGTAAACCATGTGGGTAAAATATTTCACCCATGCAGATGGGGATAAAGAGTGGCATAAAATAAAGCAATTACATATGACCATACAATAATAAGAACGTCTACACTTGTCCAAAGTTTAAATGCACCTGAAGGTAATGATGCTTTCGTAACCTCTGAAGAACATCCCCTTCATGGATCAGTTTGCCTTTCCTAAACCAACAAACCCATAGAAAATGTCTTTTGAAAGCAATGACTGCTAAAATGAGGGGTTAGGCATGGGCTTTCTTTTAAATGAGAGGAATAAGCGTTGGGGGATGGGGTGATACTTGTAACAAAGGCCCAAGTGGGCCGCTTATTCTCGCATATGGTGCATAAAAGAAGCAAATGTCCCCTGTGTGAGTTACCTTTATAGCAGGTAAAAATAACGTAAACAACCCCCAACGCATCGCATCATTGTGCCGCTCACGCACCTGCACTTATAGTCAAAACCTCACGCGTCGCGTGAGCCAGTTAGCTCGCTGCAAAACACAATCTTAAGATGATAATTTCAGATTGCAGTTATATGCGTACTAAAGAGGGCAACGTGGGATTTAAAGAAGCTGCAGTTTACAGTATAGCAAATCGATGCTAACAATGCACAGGGTTACATAAACGGCTTGAGGTTTAATGATCGGTGATCTAACCAGAAAAGCAAAGCAATGACCGGGTACCCCACATCCCTAACTTACAAGTTGGATTCAGTATTTGGTCTATTTTTCCTAATGTGAATCTTGAGATAGTTTTAAGCAGTTATGCAGATTTATGGGCAGTCAAGATTATCTCGCTATCTATCCAGGCTAGCTTTCTTGGAAACGATGCGAGGACGTTTTGCGATAACGTTAGCCTGCAAAAACGAAGCTTGTTAGCTTAGCATAACCTTCTTGCAGAGCATGGAGGAATTCTGAAAAATAACCTAAACCATATGACGGGAGAACTGGCCAACTTTTCCGCAAGGATGAGTTGGTTTCTTTCATCCCCGGCTCGTGATGCGCGCATGGAGCGCATTGTCTCGCGCATGCAGTTAGCTGGCTGTTCCTAAAGTGGCCAGTTAAAATTTTTACAGGCAAATTGTTGCGCCTGGCTAGCTGAACTTCAGCGTTAAAACTTGGCTTTGCCTGGCTGTAACTGTGTTCTTGTGGACACGTTAGCAAGTTAGCATTAGCTAGGCACATAAGTATGCAGAACTCACCACATCCGATATTACTTGGCCTCTCCACGGTACTGAAGACAGAAATACCTCGCGGACAAAAGATAAACAACAAAAAGGTCAAATAAAACCGTTTCAGTAACTTTATCCCTGGAAGTGGCGGGAGCTCCGTGACTTTCCAGTGTGAGGGGAGGCTGGACGGTTGCCTGACCGGCTATTCCCTGTACCGTTAACAGTTCGGCAAGTATTCTTCAGTTCACGAGCATAGAACAACCAACATGTGCAGAGTTTGAGTTGAGATTGTGCTATTATTCAAGATACAGGGAAATAACACAAACTCGTGTTCATATTAGACCCCCAGATACATGAATTGCATAGATGGCCCAATGTTAAACGTTTCGAGTAATATTTTATAAGAAACGTAATTCGGTAATAATAAAAAACCTTTATATAGTTTGTCGAAATCATAATTTCACCATTGATATCCCCCCATTGAGTTACAAAATAGACCCGCCCAAAGCTTGGGTTGCGAAATGCACTATGGGAATAGTAGTTTTTATACGTTGAAATGTGCGTCAAGTTGCTTTTGTGTTGAACATGATACTTTTATTATCAACATCAAGTTTTTAGGTTAAAATTATTTTAAAACAAAATGTTTAAAAAATTGTATATCGTACCATTTGTTTTTCCTTCTCACTATCATTTGAAACGGTCGTGCATGAAATGTTTTGCAACAAATTCTAATGCTTTTCAATAAATGAGCTCATAAAAGTAAGCTCATACTCACAATGTGGTGTGAGTAAGCTCACACCACATTGCATGTCAAAACAATTTATGTCAACTGGCCTTTTGTCATTTTCAAAGCAGGGTTTTCTAGGCATTGAGGAGGCTCAGATTGCAGGACATTAACAATACAAACAATAGAAACAAATCACATGCATAGATTATGCAAAACACAAAGGTAATTAATGTAACATTTTGAAAATCTGCTAAACAATGTTCTATGTAATGGGAATTCCTGAAGACATTGTATTGTAGTAAAAAGTAGCTAAATGGATGTAGCAGAGTGACAGTGCATTAAAGAGGCTTTTGGTGTAACACCATATCTAATTGACAAGTGACAAAGTGCTAAGACAAAGGTGAATTTGTGACTGTCAGATGGACTGTAGAAAAAAATGTGTGAAAAGTTAAAACATAAACACTTTTAATTTGTTATATCAACATGTTTTCCAGTCAATTGCTCTTATGGATAGCTATACTTAGATAAATGAAGCCTGGCACACAGCCTCATGGCTTTACCACTGTTTATACTGATTCTACCCATCAGTGGAAATTCTTTATGTGGCATCTGATTTACAATTGATGAGAGCAGACTCAATGGCAGAAAACCAGCTTTGTTATAATGTACGGACGGTTCTTCATGCCAGCGTCTGTTGCCTTGTTGTCTGTTATCAAGGATAAAGCTAGCAAGGCGGGAATTTTGGACAACTATAGACCAATTACAGGCCTGTGCAAGAGAAAAAAATGGCTCCACTCTTAATTATTTATAAAAAAATTAAAGTTATATTGTTAATAATATAATGAATTACACTATTAACACATGGGAAATCAGTAGCCTAGATGAATGAAATCAGTATTAACAAAATCCATCTACACTGCAATTACAATTTCCCAAATAATGTTACGAGATTAATGTTCTAAATATAACATTTTGAATATAGAAATCTGAAATGCGAACAATGAAATGATAGCTAATATTATGAAACTAAACCCACCATAGCTGGCGGCAAGTCGTAATAATCATTCAACCTTTATGAATGGGTCATTGAATCATTGACATAACCGATTCGTTAAAAAAATTGGTGAATTATTCAATAATGAAACACAGCTGTGTGTTGCTGGGAGACGCCACTTTTCTGCTTTGTTTGGAACTATTTTCGTTGGGCAAATAGAGCAAAAACAGTCAAAGTTGACAATGTTCTGCTGTGTCTAAAAATTGTCAATTCATATAGGTTACTCATAAAATGAAATGATTATCACTTTTTGTTACCTGGCTGTCACCAACGAAGGCAGGTCCAGGAGTCGTGAATGCTGCTCATCTTCTCTGTGGTGGCTGTGACAAGGGATGTCGGAGAGTGGGAGGGACTTAAGAATAAGTTGCCGGGTCTACTCTCACCAGCCTTTTTTTATGTATATATGAATTAATCTTTGTGGGTTAAGTTTAAAAAAAGTGAAACGTATGTAAGCTTCAGGTTGCCTACAATGACATTGGGAAAAAAAACCTAAGGTGGAGCAGTGTAAATGATCTATTTTGTAAGGCAAGAGTAAAATCTTTTTTTGGCTTTAATGAGTTTCTGGCTAAAATTTGATGTATAGCCTACATTTATTTGTCAGCTGGATGATTCACAGAATGCTATTATGCTGTTGTCCCTAACAGTAGTGTGGTGCAATACCAGTCACCTATGAGAAAATATTGGTATAAATGTCTTTATAACTGTTTTGTATTGTATTTTTACTGGCTATTGTGGTTTCTTCTTCTCTAATGGACCCTGAGTCTGGAAATAAAGTTAAATTGCATATCAAATACTTCAGTTTATACTGCTGGAATATCCTTGCTGAACGTCTATACTTAGGTTAAAGGATTAGTTCACTTTTAAAAAAACTTTTGCTGATAATTTACTCACCCCCATGTCATCCAAGATGTCCATGTCTTTCTTTCTTAAGTCGAAAAGAAATTAAGGTTTTTGATGAAAACATTCCAGGATTTTTCTCCATATAATGGACTTCCATGGTAACCAGACGGTTCAAGGTCCAAAAGACAGTTTCAGTGCAGCTTCAAAGGGCTTTAAACGACACCAGACGATGAATAAGGGTCTTATCTAGCGAAACGATCGGTCATTTCAAAAATAAATAGAAAAGTTGAAGTTTAAAAAGCTTTAAAAAGTTTAAAAAGTTTCTTTTTTTTTACAAATCCAAGATGTCATGCCAAAAGAAAGCCTATAAAACAAGATGGTTTGATCTGAGTTTTATTGAAATATTTGTGTAGAGAGTGCAAAAAATAACTTGGAAGAATATTCACATCACCAAAAACTATATAATATTTGAGGAGGTGGAAGCCACAGTTACAATTCACAAACATTTGCAAGGACTTTACATATAGACATTAGAGCTTACTTTAAGATATATTAGCAAAAGTATTATACAATGTAAAGATATACTAGTATGCATAATAAATTGTGAAAAGAGAGTGAGAGAATGATAATTAAACAAACGTGTATATGGACATATACAACAGAAACAAAGGGGGCCAGGAAAAAGAATATAGCTGTAAAGCAGTCTCAAAGTTATGATCAATTATCGCATTCTGAGTATTATCATTCTCAATCAATGAAAGACTGTCATGTTTGGCAGAGACTTATAGAAACTACTGTACAATGTGAGAATATACAATAAGAATGATAAATGAACTAGTCTTATTGGAAATATTACAGAAGGTAAATGATTGATGAGAGGACACAAATGCACTGCTTCAACTTCACTATCTCAGAGCAAAAATCCAAGATGGATGAAGTGACAAAAATCATAACACCCTCCAAAGTCAGTAACTGGTGAAGAGCAATTGCACAGCGGTTCTCCAAAACAGAGCAGGATGCCAACTTGTTTTAAGGGAACAAGTTTCATTAAAGGTGGGGTTTTTTTTCAAGTTATATAAACTTTTGTATCCAAACTCTCCACAGATTCTACATTACAATTATGAAATTGTTATTTAGGAAACATATTAGTGCTTGCTATGATCTGGTAGTGTAGAGCAGAACCATTTACAAGTGGGTTAACCTTAACGGTTTCCTCTAATAATACAAAATGCTCAGTTACTCTCCTCTTTACACATTAAAAAAGCTTCTTATCCTTCACATACAATCAATAACAAGGCTCTTGGCGTTTAAGCCCCAAATATCACTGTACAGCCCCAAAAGGTATGCTGTACTCAAGGATCCATAATCTATATCCCAAAGATTTTATTGTTACATGGTGCACCTACTTCATTCTTGAGCCTTCACATCCTCTTAGCATTTTTACAAGCCTTTTCCTGACACACTTCCCCTTGGTGATTGGCCAGACCGCTTTGTAGACTTCTGGTCATCGCTGTTACCCTCGTCACCAGTCGGATGGCTGTGACCCTGGACGTGACTGGGTGGGGAAGGTGGCGGGTACGAGGGAGGCGGGATGGTCAGGTGTGGTAGAGAAGGCATTGCTGGGCGAGGTGTGGTGGGAAGGGGTGGCGGGGTCGAATGATGGTACGAGCGAGGTCTGGGTGATGGGGAAGAGCTGGCGCTTTTTGCTCTCGGAAGGGTCTCAGGATGATCGCTGATCTGCTCCAGCAAAGAAGGCATATCCCCCTCGATCTTCTCTAGCACGGCAGCCATTTGCTTCTCAATTTGTTCGATTACACAATCCATTTGCCAGTCCGCGCTGGTTCCACTTCCTGGTTCTAGACCACTGTACTGTCCGACAGAGTAGGTTGGACAGTATGGGCTCCCGTACCCTGATGCACCATGGACCATCTCCTGCAGCTCCTGCTCAAATACCGTTTTATCATGGCCGAGACTTGAAGATCCCAATCCCGCATACGTACACTGGATGTTTTTCGCCGATTGGCTCCCCTTGTCCGGTCGTCCTTTCTTCAACTCTCTGCTATTGGGGTTGACCTCGCAAGTGGCCCCAACTTCTGCTGGCCTCTCTGCAACTGCTTCTGGGAGCTGTGTTTGACACCAGCTGCTTGCGGCCATATCATGGGCCGTGTCTTTCTTGTCTTCTGATTGAAGGGGTGTTTCCTTTTCCACTGACAAGGAACTGGTTTTGGCATCCGAACATGAGCTATGATCCATCGAGAGATTTGCAGCCATCTTGCGTCGATTTGGAGTATCAGGGAGAGGTGATTTCTTTTCAACATTGCCAACAGTTGTGGCCTCTGGCTCTGTGGGGATGTGGTTCTCTCGGCTGTCTGAGGTCTTGATTGGCTGGATGGGCGCTGCTTTCTGGCTTGCTCGCGTTGATGGTTTGTCCTCTATTTCAGAAGTGCTTTCGTTAGTCTCTATCTTGTTCGGCTCCTCTGCTTGTACTTTTAAAGAGCTGTTTGATTGGGCAAGGGTCTCTGCTTCTTTCTCTTCTACTTTTTTGTGTTCTGCTTCGTCTTCTTCTTGATTCTTCACGGATCTGCTTACGACGGACACCTCATGGGACTTGCTCACAGTAGAAACGCCACCTGAGTCTTTTAGTGTCCCCTTACCATCTAATCCATCTGCTCTGACCCCTTCGCCCTTGGCTTCTACTGCACCATCAGATGATCCAGCTTCGGAGGCTCGGAGGCGCTGCATGAATGTGGTGACACGAATCGCTTTCTGAAAGTGAAATGAAAAACACCCAACACTTAGTACCCGGTAAATTATCAAGTAATGTAAGGTCTTCTTTGCTATGGAGGTGAAATGCATAGTTAAAAGTGTGGCAATCGGTGGTAGCAGTTTTCCCTCTCTATCGCTTTCATGAGACGTACACATTCAAGAAGGGCGTTTTAGTAATTTTGTTGTGTCAGAGGGAGGCGTCACATTATATCGCTTTTTCAGCGTTTCGAAACAACAAATTTTTAAGAGTTACTGTAATAGTTCAACTTTTCAAATCCCTGTTCTGATATGTTTGGTTCTAGCTGTTTTTCGAATGTGAGAATGCAAGAACTGCAAGATAAATTATGTCTGAACCAAACAATGAAATTAGTTGTTACTGGCTGTTGATCTGAGTGAAATGTTTTAAGTAGGGATGCACAGAACATTACGGAACCTTATTGATTATTTGCCAATATTTATTGGTATCAGTTGATATTGGATATTTAACTGTACGCTCATTTTCTCTATTTTTTACGTTTAGATTACCTTTGCCATCATCTAAAGCTCACTTAAAGTTAATCTTTAAAACCACTATTAATTTAATAACACTGTTAAATGTAATATTTAGCAAATCTTAAAACGAATATTCTTTTTTCAACTTCCGATGCCTAAAATTTACTTGTGTTTTTTTTGTGTGTGTTTTATTTTACATTTATTTAGAAAAAATAGTACAGAATTTTAATATCGGTCATTTATCTGGTTTCAACCATTGCACAATTATTATCAGCTTATCAGTATTGAGCCAGAATTTTTATATCGGTGCATCCTTATTTTTAAGCTATTTATATATAAAAAAGTAAAGTACCGCAAATATTCTCATTCTCGATAATTGCCGTCTTTCGAATGCTCTGCTGCTCGTCCCCATCCCTAGCACACATACAGGATGATCCCCAATTTGATATGTATGTGTCATTGGCAAAAGCATGATGTGAATAAATGAATCAGGGCTACAGTAAGTCATCTGAGGACAAACCACTTTCTCAAAGGACAAACCACTCTCTTTCTCTCTTTTCATAAGAACCACTTTGGTCCTTTCTGGCACACACAAACACAGGGACAACTTTTCATACACATACAATACGATGAATAGTCAATCTGGAGATTTGTCTGAGTGAATGAAGGGCTAACTGGAATTCAAACTGGAATATTGAGGACACTGTGAGTAAAAGCCAGACGGCATATGACTGAATGCACATGGGACCAGCTGGGCAGTGATAAATTTGTTAGTTACTGGTGTGCAGATACAGGGAGGCTTAAGTACAGCGAGAGTCTTTCCAACAATCCGACTTGAACTACATATTTCCTGAATGATCGTAGCTTGAAGAATCAGGCCAGGCCATGAGACACTGCAGCCATGTATTATCGTACACTAGGTATGATGCGAGAGGAAATATGAGTGCCCAAGTCAAAGATTGTTATACAGAGAAAAGAATCTCTGCCTCTAGGCTGCCCCGCAAATATCAACAGTACCTTCAACTCCTGGGTATCACATGCAAGGAAAAAGCAAACATTAATATAATAACCATCAGAACCTTTATTAAACAACAGCTTAATTTGCCATTATCATCTTTACATATACTGTCCTTATCCATTAACTTATTATTTATTGTGCTGTTTGCTAGAAAAGTGAGTAATGCAATTCCTCTTACCCTCCACTTTGCCTTTGCAAAGTTTTTCTCAAATTGAGCACAGACTCCTTCCTTCAGATTCTTTTCCGAAGCCCCATTTCCAGCGATCCTAGCAAATAAATAAATAAACATAAGTAAAGGTGTTGTCTCTGAAATAAAATCAACTATTTGTGTGTAGACTTACCATGCATGCGAAAGTGCATCTTGTGCAGTAATTCTCAGCATTTGGTCAACATCCATAAGTCTGCAGACCAGCTCTTTTGCTTCATGACATGGAAGAAAGAGACTCAGGGGTAAAGCATCAAAATAAAATAAAATAAACATTTTAAATATTACTAGTTTGGATCAGGAGCTTCTCAGTTCCTGATCTTAGTACCAGCAGGGGAAATGTCATCCCAGTACGGTGAATCAAATTCAAATTCTCCACCAACAATGCGGCAGAAGATGATCCGGTTGTGCATGTCGGTGTTCTCCTCCTCAGTTTCATCATAGAAGGGAGGGTTTCCAGACAACCTACAAATGAGATTTGTACAATTTGTATTATGTTCTGCTGTGTTGTACTACATTTCCTTTGGTACAAGATCATGAGTATGAATTTAGGTATAAATGTGCTGTAAAATTACTGTTAAGTGTTTTAAATCAGGGGTTTCAATTTCAAATTTTTTTGGTGCCAAAGAACCATCTAAATATGATCTTCTTGTGAGGGACCCCCTTCCTAAAATATAAGGGCAGATATATATTCTTATTTATAAAACCACATTAATACTGTGTTTTATATATATATATTATAAAATAGTGTGGACATAATTTTTGGCCAGGCGGTCATACAAAAAAAATGATGAACACATGAAAAAACAAGAGAGAATCAACAAAATATTATTTAGTGATTGTATGTGTCACAATCACATTTGTTTGGACTCTTTGTGTTTCGTCATTGCCTGCCTTAATCATTCATTTGTTGTCACGGACACTTGTTATGTTCAGCTGTGCACTCATTACAGTATGCTCACACAGTATGGTTTTTCCTGCACAGTAAAATAAAACCTGTAGCTGTAGATTGCCCTTTTTGCCAAATAATTGTGTCAGATAAACACCTTAACCAAGTTTAGTGTTTTGTTCTTCCCTCATATTTAAAATACTGTAAACACTATACAAATAAATTGAAATTAAAAATGTATCAAAATATTTTAAATAATCTCATGATTTCTGACCCCAGCCCCCTGTTCTTTTTAAAAACCAAACACATAAAGAAAATAAAGTATCCTTGACAAACCAATTGTATCCAACACCAACTTACAGTATGTACATAATGACCCCCACCGCCCAACAATCGACTGGTCTTCCATAGCGATGACGCGCCACCACTTCAGGAGCTGACAGGAAATATGACAAACAAATGTGAAGATTACTGCCAGTGATTCGCATACTCAAAGTTAAAGAAAAATAAAGATCATGGTGATGAATAAATACCAAGGTATTCAGGTGTCCCACAGGGTTCAGTGATTGAGCCGTTCTCAAACCTGGACAGGTAGAAATCCCGCAACACGACTTTGTTGTGATTACTCTCTCTATAGTACATCAAGTTCTCCAGCTGAAATGACAGAAAAGGCAGAGGGCAAAAAAAATCAATACTTTAATATATAAGTAGTGATAGGAGGAAAGACATGGCATTAGGCCCAACTATGGCTGAATAAAAGATTGCTGTGTCCCAAATGATATTGATATTCGTCTATCTTCTGGCCAGTAGAGACCAGACAGGACACACCCTTCACCCGCTCTCAATGTGAACAATGAGTTCTGTCTTTAAAAGATAAATCTGAAAACTCACAGCTGACCTACTCTGTATAATATATGAATCTCAGTCAGTGATATTTCAAGCACAAACCCTAAAAGGAAATGCATCAAAGCTAAATCTAAAAACACCCAGGAGGCAACACAGAATTATGCATTACTGACAAGAGCAAATGAGATGCATATATATACACATAATAGAGAATGTCTGATGCTAATATCCTGCCGTGCACTAGAGGGCACTATAAACACATGTTGTCTCATGACAAACAGCATCATAACCTTAATGACTTTAGGATGAAGCATTAGAACCACAGGAGCTGGCAATGCTGTTTATTCCTTTCATATTTGTTTTGAACATTAATGACACCCACAGGGAGCACCTGCAATATTACAGTTGTACAGTGTTATGAGTCAAAGAGGACTAGGCGTTTGATTAATATAACTGATGATTATCATTTAATACTCCACAAATAGAAACATTCCCAGCACACACATGCAAATTAACACGTTTTAACACAGAGTTACAGCCTTTGAGTCACATGTTCAGATATTAAACCGGCCTATGGTGCATATGGTTTTGCACTCCATTATTTTATTCTATATATGGATTTCCATTAATACAAATGATCATATTATGACTGCATACCAACCTTTAAGTTCCTGTGGACGATGTTGAGGGAGTGAAGGTACGCCACTGCTTCTAAGACCTGACGGATCACATTGGAGGCATCTCTCTCTGTGTAGTTCCCCTGGTCTAAGATCCAATCAAACACATCTCCACCTGTGGCCCTGTGATGAACACACAGTCAAAACATAAGATGAAAGCAGGGGATATGCGTGTGTGTATAGTGTGTAATTCTAATTTAAGCTGTATTTAATTGGTAGTAAGGTTGGTCAGGGATGGGGTATGCCCTAGGGCAATAGGGCCAGTGCTCCAGGGCCTTTGACTAACTGGGACCTTGAGCTGATAGGTGGACTGACAGCTGGAAACAAGGTACTGCAAACATAAATCTGCTACAGATAGAACAACAGCCCTGTAATGGTTTGACACACATATATTTGGTATATTCAAATATACATATATATTTGACCTATATAGTAGTGGCCAAAAGTGATGTCCCCTCTAGGAAAATGTACTTCTTTACCCTTTATTCAAACATTATTAGAAATGTGTTAATGATTTTGTAAGCATATTGCATAGTTGTGCTTGAAGTAAATTGTTTTATTTGTGATAAAATGAAATCATCGCAATGAAACATGTCAAAATGTGCGGACAACCTTTTTGGCCAGGTTGTCATACAAAGAAATTATGAACACACTAGAGAGAACCAATGAAATATTAATAACTATGTTATAGTCAGTATACTTTTTTCTGTGAGTGTTTTGTTTTACTAAGCTTTTTTTTTTTTTTTTGCATATGAATAAAACCTGTAGCTTGACCCTTTTTTGCCAAATAATTTTGTCAGATTAAGTAAATTAGTAACCTTAAGTAAGTTAGTTTTGTTCTTCCCTCATATTTAAATTGTTATTAATATTTCAATTATTATATATCCTCATATTTTGTGGGTTTAATCAAACTTGTAGGGTCATTAAAAAAATAATCCCCTCTGGACATCACTTTTGGCAACTATAGGATTATTTCAGTATATTCAGGATAATTCAGGATTAATCCAGAGCCTCAAAAAGGACCAAAATGCATTCTTGTGGTTAGTCACCAAACATAAAACAATTAGATAATTTTAAAACATAGTGAAATATCACTATATTATAAGGATTTTGATGAACCATTACATAAAGACCTGCCCAAATTTGCTAAATCATTAAGAAAATGTGCAGTTTTCAAATGTTATATAAATCTACATTTTAAATCAAATTAAAAACTAAACGTCATAAATTTCAATCCGGATCTGAATATTTTGCCAATACGTGCAGCAATGCACAAATGTGAAACTGTAAAATCTCAGAATATGTTCTCAGACTGTTAAAAATGTTGTGATTTCAACAAAATACCCCAAAATAAACATAATATTACCCTATGTATGTAATTCTACATCTGACTTCTTATGCACCTAATTTAGTGTAACTCTGACACACCATTGCCACCAAAATTATAAATACACTTTTTCAAACACTTCAAATATTTTATTTACAGAATGCCAGATCTGCAACCGGAATCTATCAAGCTAACATCATTCTATAGGATCTTTAAGATTAAAACAGAAATGGTAAATGACAAAATGTCCAGAAACTGGATTTTCTATTATAGACACTCATTACTGTAATCTTAATAGCTGTAATAGCATGTCAAAGTCATTCATGCACAATCAGATGACAGGGTTTTAATAGATTTTTAGCTCTGGCTAGATGTGGATATTTGCGTGAGGAGCCGAGTCAGAAAAAGTGGATTTTCTGGAGTGATGTTATGGTGCGGAGAGATGTGTCCTTGGTCTACTGAATGGCACAGGGAAGGGATCGTGACTGATCAGGGCAAACGCAAGGTCAGACTCACAGTTCTTGTACGATGAAGAACTCTTTCCTGGTCTCGAATGCATCAATCAGCTGCAAGATGTTTGGGTGTTTGAGCCTGGAATAATGACACATGACAGCAAAAAGCTGAATAGTTTCTTCATCTCACGTTAAAAAAAGAGTAAAATAATGCTTCAAGAAGAGTGAGAAAGGACAGAAATAATCCCACCACGAGTGATACATTCAGCTTCTCTTACCCTCTCCATCTTTCTCTCCACCCCACCATCCTTAAAGGAGTAGCGCGCCCAAAAATGAAAACATACAGCTATAGTTTTACTTTTGTGCTCCACAGATGAAAGATGAATTTTGATGTTTGAAATGATTTCAGATTTCTGGGCGAACTATCCCTTTAAATGTTCTCTTTGTCCTTTCAGATCAGCACTCTCACAAAACCCTACATCATCTGTTGATGTTTTGAGTCACCATGTACATTTTCAAGATCATGATCTCGTTCTTGGCTGCCTTCCGCACTTTCTTGCCATCTTTCTTGAGGAATTTCTTGCACACATAGACCTTGTCCGTCTGTCGTTCCTTCACCAGGCACAGCTCACAAAATTCTTTCCTGTAGAGAGAAATGATACTGAATGCTGCATTTTATGTTTATGTTTGTGAATCGGTTATATTAAGAACTACACTGCTGAGATAAACACCTATGTATTGGGATTAATGTTTAGCGAGATCACATGTCTGTAATTGATGGATTGGCTTTCTTAAGGCTATAATGGCTGATCTATGCACACTCACGCCTTGAGGACCTGTCCGATCTCGTATTTGTCAGTGACATCTGACAGGCTGTTGTATGTCCGCCCATCTCGCAGAGCAAGGCACCCAAATGGCATGACAGCATCCACCTGTCCAGAGGAGAACAAGAAGCGTACACATACACATACAGCTATCAATCTCAATAAAACTAATGCCATTCACTCTGGAGGAGCATGTCTTCACAAACTAGCCTCACCAAGACAGGTTTTACACAGAAATTGTGAAATACTAATGAATGCAGTTTCAACATGTTTTTATAAAAAATATATAAACTGGAAAATATAAACTGGAAATATTGGACATTATCCATTCAACACAAGCAGAACAGTTTATGTGTAAAACATACACATTCTTGTAAAACAGAGTCCATTTCTTCCTATTAAATGGAATGTAACAATTTGCTACAAAGAAATTCATCACGTTTAAAGGAGATCTATAAATTTAGTGAGATATTTTATAATAAACATACAAGTGAATAAACAAATTGGGGACATTCCATAGACATAATGTTTTTTATTAGGGCTGCACCGATATGAATATTTTGGCCGATACCGTTAACCGATAATTCTTTATATTTAAAAGCCGATAACCGATATATTGGCAAATAAATCTAAATCCAATTTTTTAAAATGATTTTTGAGAGCCTGATTACAAAAACAAAAGTCTCACTATTGAAAGCCATGTCCCAAGCACACAATTACAATGTTCTCATTATAATGTTATGTAACCTATTTGACAGACTTCCAATCGTATTTAAAGCAATTCAAAACCATCATGGCAAACAGTGCACATCAGAAGTGTCTCAGCTGAAGGAAATAGTCCATTATTTATCTGCTTTAAGATATAGGACAAATTTTCTTATCGGGCCAATAACGATATATATCATATGTACATATTTGATAACATATGAACATATCGGCCGATACCGATATTGTGGCCAATATATCGTGCATTCCTTGTTTTTATACTGTACAAACTGTATATTCTATCCCCTAACCTACTCATCACAGAAAACTTTCTGCATAAAAAAAAAACACCATTTATGATTGATAGTTTTCCACATGGGGACCAAAAATGTCTCTACAAGGACAAGGATATCGGATATTGCCATCTTTGTGGGGATCATAACGTAGGGTTTACCAGGACCACAGACACACACACACACAAACAACACACACACACACACACACACACTTTTAATAGGGAGAAAATCATGCAGCAACAAGGACATCATGTTTTTGGTTGATAATAGATGACTGTTATCACTCCAAACAACACGATTTGTATCTTTATTGTGTTTCAAAAAAAATCTTATTTGTAAAAAGGTGTTTCTGATGTATCACACAATTACAAAATCAGAAATATAGTGCTCAAGTGAAAATAATTCAACAGATGGTTGGGCGGACATGTTTCTCAGCGCAGGGAAACAGTAGATCTTTAAGACTGATGGTATCAGTGTGGAAGAGCGTGATGAGAGTGACATCATCTTTATCAGAAGAGAGAGAACTGGACTGTCAGCTGTGTAATCCAGCTCCAGCTCCTGCCCCTAATCCCTAATCCCTCACATGGATCCATGCACGGGAGGGGTCGGGATACAGTAGGAGAGGTCGGGAACAACTGAAATATTACATAACAGGAACATTGTGAAGGACTTTGCTGAATTTATGCTGAGAATCTGATAAGTGACAAACTGGAATACTGTGATATCTTTTAAATATCTAAATTGTGAGGTTTTGTCTGCTAAGAAAAGGAAGTGAAGACATTAAAATCATCGAGGCATGCTTCCTAGTTTTTGCTAGACAGCTGTTCATCCTACAGCAAAGTCAACATGGCATTGTTACGCATACTTCTGAGATATCATGTTTGTTATATTTGCATAGCTATTTCTGTTACCTGCCTTCTGGTACCACGCAAACAACTCCATAACATTTAATTAAAATAAAATTGTGCCACAATGATTTGTATGTGACAGGCCTGTTAGAACATTTCCGCATTTCAATAAATAAAATATGACACACTAAAAACATTTTACAAGAGCGCCAAGATAGTCATGGGGCTTGTGTCTAAATTAAGATGTAGTCAAGATGAGAAAATAATGTTGTGACAATATTTCATGTGCATGTTGCAACAGAATTATTTGTATTTTTTTCTTAAACATGCACAAAGATTATAAGGAACTGCTATGGACAGATTTCTTTGGAAAGGCCAATGAAAAGTAGGGATTTTTAAAATCGACTAGTTTCCTGAATCGGCTGGTTTCGGGATCACTTGACCCCAATCAGACACGTTTCTTAGGGGGTCTTTACATAAGATGTCTTCCTGCATTCAAATTTAACTAGATGAGGCGCAGCACCGTGAAACAGAACACAGACGTGTTTTAAAAAGTTAAACTATTTTTAACTTGACATGTCATCTTAAAAATGCAACACTCATTTCAGAGCTGTGGCACAGAGGGTAGTGCATCAATTCTGAAATATAAAGGGCTGCAAAGCTCGTGGGGACACAAGCTCACCAAACCTGGACAATAGAAGACTGGAAAAACATTGCCTGGTCTGATGAGGCTCAATTTCTGCTGCGGCATTAAGGTGGCTGGGTCAGAATTTTGCTAAACAACATGAAAGCATGGATCCATCCTGCCTTGTATCAATGGTTTGTAAATGATGGCTACTTCCAGCAGGATAACGCACCATGTCACAAAGCTCAAATCATCTCAAACTGGTTTTTTGAACATGTGAATGAGTCACTATACTCAAATGGCCTCCACAGTCACCAAATCCCAATCCAATAGAGCGCCTCTGGGATGTGCTGGAACTGGAGACTCGCATCATGTATGTGCAGCTGACAAATCTGCAGCAACTGCGTCATGTTATCATGTCAATATGGACCAAAATCTCTAAGGAATGTTTCCAGCACTTTGTTGAATCTAAGCCACGAAGGCGGCAGTTCGGGAGGCAAAAGGGGGTGCAACCCAGTACTTGCAAGGTGTACCTAATAAAGTGGGCAGGGAGTGTACAATATATATACATGTCAATAAATTATTGTATTTAAAACATATTTGGATAATTTTATAACAAACAAACAAACATTTACTTATAATATGATAATAAATAGCTAATTTGAATAAATATGACTTGTCATTGTTGGATGACTGTAGGCCACTGTGTAGTGCAGGCCAGGAAGTTATGAGCCAGAGTTGCTACTTCCCTCCTACAGGCACTTTCTAACACTCTTTCCGTATGGTATGAACGCGCTGACAAGATATATTCACAACGAGCTTGGATTCCCTCCGGAGCTGGATGCAAATACAGAAGGTGACATGCTTACATTAGGGTAGTGATGCGCATGTTTTGATGGGAACCTTGCACTGGAAGGATGGATCACATTTGACAGTCCTCGCTCATTAGTTACACTCAATACGTGCCCTGTGTTACAGAACTCGTGCGCACGTACGGAATCGCACATCCTTCTCTCTCCGGTGTGAAAAAAGGCAACCTTGTAGAGATGGCCATTATGGGATGCGGTGGGATAAAGGATTACTGTCTCAGAGCTTGTGATTTCTCAGATCAGTTCAGGCAAAAATGTATGTTGTTTTAATTGAGGGTCCATGCATATTCATAATGGCTATTTTTTGCACACGCCCACCCCTTACATACAATCCAAAATTAGCATTTGAACATTCCCCCAGCCTGGAGACAGAGTTCAAGAAAGATACAAGACAAAAGACGAGGAAGCACCAAAGGGTTTGAGGGGTGTCTTCTACAAAGACTCGCTTGCACCAGATTTCTCCCTCCATCATTAAAGACCATAAGACCCTCACCATCAGCCTTCCCCAAGACACTTCTCTGTAATGGTACGCTCTTCTCTCTCCTGTCTGTACTGCTCTTATTAAAGCAATGAATCTTCATCTCCAGAGGCACACACATTAAACACCAGAGCCAATCCCACAGGATGGATGAGAGGAGCTGTGCTGTTCTCCAAACACATCTGAACCCAAACTCACACACACGAATGCGCACACACCTCCTCACAATCCAGCACAGCAACAAGTTCAAAAGTCACAGCATGGAGCGTAGAAGTTTGATGTCCTCCCTTTTTCCCCTTGCTTAATCTGGTGCTAAATTATAGCATGCAGTCCCGCTTTCATGTCCACCTCTCACAGACAAACACCATAATCATTATCATCCTGCTGGGTTTATTATGCATTTGGTGTTCTGAAACAGAATTTTGGCACTACTAAGCGCAATATTTGCCAGAGCCTCGGATGAAGCCTCAGATGTAGTGAAAATATTGAGAGAAGACTCATCCGAATTAGTAAAGCAAATGTTTAGCTTCTTTAATTGTTACAATTACATTTCATGTGAAATCAAAAATTTTATCACAGAGTTTTGGAAGTTTCCTTTAAAGAGAAATATAAACAGGACCCCATTTACACTTAGTATTAAAGTTGTGATGTAATGAAAGTATAGCGTCAGATATTTACTTCCTTATTGTGACATAAATCCGAGCGAATTATCGAAAAGGAAAAAAAAAGTTTGGAGGTGACTTGGTTCAATTCATCAGTTGTTGAGTGGATGGAGGCAGATCTGAATGCAAGCTTGTTGTCAATTGTAAGAAAAGGGCAGGGTTTAAGTGAAGTAAATGATTGGACATTTGACACCAGAGATTTATTTTGATTCAAAATTGTAAGGTCAAAAAAAAAAAAGAAACATGCATGGATGAATCATTCATAATAAGATCAATAACATACATTAAGAAAATAGATACAGTGAATTTCCATTTCATGCCAACTTCCGACATCCGATTCGATCACATTCACAACTAAAAAATGCTAATTAATTTACCCATCCTTTATGCCTTTTTGTGAACTGAATCAAATGATTCACTGACTCATAAGAATGATTAGTTCACAAATTGGGCATTGCTACTTCTCTCATAAACATGCCAAGGAGAACTAGGGTGAATATTTGATGGTAAAGACTTAAATTTCAGTCTGTTCCTCACACAAGTCAAGTCACATTTATTTATATAGTGCTTCAAACTATACAGATTGTGAAAATAACATTGTTAATGTCGCCAAATCCATTAATTATGAAACAAATAAAATGTAGTTAAGGCAGCTCTGCAGATTCATTATTTAGTTCAAGCTTTTTCCTCATCTGATAGTGTCAGTGCAGTTGATGATATTAAAGCGACGATATTACTGAATATTAATTGTCTTACAAAGCTTTCATTTGACTTTAGATTAGAAATATAGTTCATGAGCCGTATACAGACAGACCACTTTTTATCATATTTTTGTCCTTTTAAAGCTTGAAAGCTCCATTTCCCTACTCATTTTAATTGTCTGAAAAAGAGTGACCAGAGTATTCTTCAAAATGTCATTTGTTCGCCTGCTAAAACATACACAAGACTATATAAAAGATGTCATAATGTACTGACACTCATGTCCCAAGTTCATTTAGTCAACCAATTTACATTTAAAACATCACATTTGTGGTGAGATTAAAGTTTTGAATTATATTGTAAGCAACAGTCAATCTACTTTACTTTTTAGACTTTTTTCTGCTATATCAACATGCAGAAACACACTGACCTCTCTTGGTCTGACTCTGACCACTTGTGAACGGATCACCCGAGACAGGCTTTAATACCAAGTGTAAACACAGCCTTGGATTCGTTAACCATCCATGGTTTGGACTGACTCCAAAATCAATAACGTGTCGGACTTCAGTGGTGAATTCTTGGAATTGACTTTGGCATGAATGTAAAGGGGGCAGTGTTAACCCCACCCAGACTGAGTGAGTCCAGCTGGGCTGCTGCTTGGAGCAGCTGGATGCTCCACAGATCAGGGGAGGGAGGAGGGAAAGGCTCTCATTCAAACACAAGATGCTCATCCAAACTGTCTGCTCCTCAGGAGGGAGGCTCAGAAATCTGGAGCTGATGCAAAAGGACAGCTTCCATACAGGAAGGGCAGTGAAGGCCTGGATTAAATCAATCTGTTACCCTTCAGGTGGAATGCTACGAATTGACCAGGACTGATGCTGAAGACATGGATGTTGATTTTGCCTGTTTCTGTAGGTCATACATGATGTACGTGACAAGAATGATTGCCTGATCCCTGAGCTTAAGTGCACATAGGTGAAGACACAGGGAGCACAAACAGAAAGGAGAATAGATTGAAAATAACTGGGAGAGAATAGACCACTTGTGACATACACAAATGTTTACCGGGGGTAAGATTTGGATGAGAAAATAATCAACAGCACAAGATGAAGGAGAAGACTGAATGTCCTAAAGCGTGATGAAAAGTCACATGAAAGGAGGCAGTGCCTCCACATCACAGCGATTTTCTGATTACACTGTCAAAACAGGGGTAGTTCATCCAAAAATGAAAATGTTGCCATAATTTACTCACTCTCATGTCGTTCCAAACCTGTCGTCTGTAAAAAAAAAAAAAAAAGAAGATAATTTGAGAAATGTTTCAACTGTCTATACAATGAAAGACAATGGCGTAAAAAAAAAAAAAACACTGGTCTACACTAACTTTCATTGTATATGTATTGGAGGCCAGCTAGTAAGAGCTGTGCAGGTAAACCTCACTCCCTTGATCTTTAAGAGGCACTCTAGCGACTGACACTAGCGGCTGCAATCTTTAGCCTCCTTGTTACAGTGCTCACCTCCCACACCGGAGACCCGGGTTTGAGGCCCGCACAGAGCGGGGTGAGTAGGACCTGAGGGGTTACACTGATACCGAGACCCGGATGGGTGGTGAGGTTTAGGGGGGTGAGTGTAACGGAGGCCAGCTATAAGAGCTGTGAAGGTAAACCTCACTCCCCAAGCCTAAAGAGGATCGCTAGAGGCTGTAGTCTTTAGCCTCCTTGTTAGCGTGCCCGCCTCCCACACCGGAGACCCGCGTTCGAGGCCCACACAGAACAGGGAGAGTAGGACCTGAGGGGCTACATTGGTGCCGTGACCCGGATGGGAGTGAGGTTTAGGGGGGTGAGTGTAACAAAGACTAGCTAGTAAGAGCTGTGCAGGTAAACCTCACTCCCCTGGTCTCAAGATTGTGATTTTTTCCCCCAAACCAGTTCAGTGGAAATCCCGCCCTGCAGCTAATTTCATTGGTTAAGGTTACAGTGACGGGTAGGTTTAGGGATCAGTGTTTGGTGTAGGCAATCAGTACAGTGATTGACATGACCAATGAAATCTTTAGAATCGGCAGCAGGGCGGGATTTCCGCTGAATAGGTTTGGGGGGGAAAAAATCACACGCCGCAAGAAGTGCGCTAGCAACTGACATTACCGGCTGCAGTCTTTAGCCTCCTTGTTAGCGCGCCCAGATTCAAGGCCCGCACAGAGCGGGGCGAGTAGGACCTGAGGGGTTACATACAAAAAAACATGAAACATTTTTTGAAATATCTTATCTTGTGTCCCACAGCAGAAACAAATACACAAGGGTGAGTAAATGACAACAGAATTTACATTTTTAATGAGTCTTTTTGATATTTTATTTATGCATTTGGCGTACACATTTACCCAAAGGGACTTGCATTCAAGATATACATTTTACTAGATCATGCGTTCCCTGGGAATCTCCATGACCTTGGCATTGTTATCATATATTACTATTTAACCTACAGGAACATACTATTTTAATAAATACTATGTTATACAAAAAATATTGTTATAATATTGTTTTCTTGTTGATAGCATAGAACAAAATCCACTACATGCCACTGATGTGTTCATCTTACTCCAGTGGGAAGGGAATGAAAAATAATATGAAAACTCTAAATATACTCTAAAAATCGGTTCAATGATTCATAAGGAATGTTAAAGTAACCATAATGGTATTTTGAGACTCGTGTAGGCAGAGGAGAGGAACTCATTGTGTTAAAAGACCGCAGGTACAACAAGACTGTGGGAGGACAGATTTTATTCATTAGAAAGACAGAAGCCATCAAAGCATTCATTCGTCTTTCTGTCTGAGACTTCAATCTGCTCCTATTGTCTTTAATATTAAGTGGAATCATTACCAATGATGACACAAATTGATTTCATTGTGGTTTTGCCACAATAATGAGGCACTCCTGCTGCTCGCTGTACTCTCTTCTGCGTCTGAGAAGCCAATGCAAATGTTGCATTTACTTTTTAAGCCGTTTGCCTGCTCGCTGCATGAGCGAACTCTCCTCCCAATTACAATCAGCGATCTCCACATCGTTCATAGTTCCCTCATCACTGAACTGTCTGCAAGTAACAACAGAGCAGAAAATAATTTACACCCGCCTTTTTAATAAGCAAACTTTGCTCAGTGCGCCGATGTAAATTTACAACATCAGTCTGAGGGAGGAACAGCGGGTGTATTTATTTATTTATTTTGTCAGAATTATGGACATATTTTAAAAACAAGCTCCAAAACAAATGCAAATGAAGCCTTGTAAATGGATTTCGATGAAATGATGCCCGTGCCATTTGCTTTGCGGCAGAAACACAGAACTGTGAATGGGTCCTGGTTCTTTGCGACAATTTTTTTTTTCAAGCTACATTAAAGCCATTAGCGGAAATCAAATATAACCAAAGCCATTTAAGGCTAGAAGAAGCTAGGCTTCTCGCCGGCCCGGTACAGCAGGAGATGTGACTATTGCTCCGGTTTTTCTGTATAACGAGTTTTTAAAGCATGCTGGCAGCTGTGGTAAAAGGGCCCTTCATGAGAGCCTTCTTTCAGCAATTCTGCTGCTTTTTTAACACAGATGCCTGTGTCCTAGCAGAATCTAAATGAGGTCCCTGGGGTCTCGCACAGCCAGGGCCACATACAAGACATCCGCATCATTACCTTTCTCTGTCTCCCTACAGGCCGTTCTTCAGCTATAGATACTGTCTATCTCCCAGAGGGGAGAGAGTGGAGCTAAAACAGGAGCTGGTGTGTGCCACCTCTGGTCAATGGACACCTACGGATAAAAGCAGCGATTGACTGAAGCAAAAATCAATTTCACGAGTGAGGAACAGCTAAAACTGAGATACAAACACAGGAAGGATAACGGAGTAATAAAACGTAATGTCTCATTCTTGTTTGATGATTGATTAGCAGATTTACATTTGGAATAAGGAACAAAAACAGGTTGTGATAGAGACTTGAGAGGGTTAATACGTGTTCGCTTGCTATTTTTTATGAATTATGCATTAGCATTGAGTGGATTTATCACTGAAAGGAAATGCAGTAACTCATGTTTATGACCAAAGATACACTTGCTTACCAACTAACTCTGACTTTATTTCAGCATTATGAACAAACCTTTGGGTTGCTCAGTGTTTTGGTCTCAGATGCACTTTCTCAGCTGAACACACACACCCACACACACACACACGGGTTTGTGTGACTCCGAAATTAAATCCACCCACAGGCACTATATCCAATATCCACTTTTTTTTAAAAACTTTTATGTTTTCACCTTATGCTCACTTATAATGTTAAGGTTTCCTGCACCAAAAACATGGTACTTTGACATTTTACTTTGTACTTTTTTCCCTCAGTAAAAAAAAAAAAAACATGTTTACAATAATGCACTTTGGGAAGTCTCTCACAGCACCAGACTATTCTGACAATAATGAAAATAATGCACAGACATGTATTATGTAAACCTGCAATTTCCCGCCAAATTGAACCTGATTGCTCAAAATTTAAATCAGGATTGGAGGCTTACCGTTGTGAATCAGGGTAAGACTAAGACACTTTTGAACACTAATTCTTTATGTAATCATCAGTATGGCCATTTTGTTACACTTTACCCAAAAAATCTTCCATGGTGCAAACTTAAAAAATTACAAATAATTTTCAGTAACTGAAATAGAGCTGAAATAAAATACAAATCTAAATATTAGATGGTAATCGTAAATTCAAAATTAAATTTAAACAAAAATATGAAATATTGCCTCGGCAACTAACTGACATAAAAATATATTAAAGCTATATAGAAACATTTGAGAAAAACAAAAACTAATAAAAATTACAAAATCACACAACAGAATTACTAAAACTTAAACGAAAACTGAACATTAAAAATGAAGATAATTCAAAATATTAATAAATACTACAACAACAGTATATTAATAATACATAACCATAGTTATAACTGCAGTAACGAAAACACATTTTGTTTGTTTTTTATAAACTGAAGCATAAACTCTTTACCCCAAATATTCATTTTAATGGGCTTTTTTTTTTTTGCTTCTCTGTCTTATGTCACATTTAAAAAGAGCATTTACATAGATGTGAGTAACAATCCTTATGGGTTGTGGGTTTGATGTCAGGTCTAATATAGTTGTTATAGCAAAGACAGCCTTTTCAATTAGTGGCGACAGGTTCACAAAACAAACCACACTGAAATGTGTCGCACAAACTGTAAAGGTTAGACTGATGCGATCAGGCACCTTGTTATAATGAAAGTTTCCGGTTTAGTACAAATTAAGCTTTATCGGAAGCACTGGTGACATACTGTCAATTACCACTGAAAATAATTTAGACCAGTTTTACAAGCTGAGGGATGAGTACAAATTGTCTCTGGTAATCGACAGAGAGCCACAAATGCTGTCGATAAATCTGAACTTCAGATCAGTTAAATCCAGATCATTCCTTTAAAAATACATCTCACCTACTCGTTTCTAATGTTACGCAAGGCCGTATGTGCAACCCAACAGCTTGAAGACCCGCAAAAACAGGAAGGTGCTACTTCAGATGGAAGGAAAATGCTAAATTTGCTTACAGGTCAGGGACCATGATTATTTTTTTCATCTGGTTATTTTTTATAGAATTAATCGCAAGTAATTTAATTTAATTACATAAAAAAATGTTTTTGTTAAAGCTTAATATGATGCAAAGCGCTCTGCTTTCTAATGTGTCAGTATTTTTGGTTCAGCTTCTCATGGTTTACTATAGTCATTAAATAGGCCTGTCAGCTGATAAATTTAGTGGAGAATAGGAAGACTTTATGGTGTAATAATTATCGATTTTTAAAAACCTTCTCTGGTATATAATGTTGAGGTTGACTGACCGACAATTGCATATGTGCAAGTAAAATCACAACATTCAGCTCACCTAGACATTCACATGCATTGCCTCTCTCTCTCACACACACACACACACACACACACACACACACACACACACACACACACACACACACACACACACACACACACACACACACACACACACACACACACACACACACACACACACACACACACACACACACACACACACACACACACACACACACACACACACACACACACACACACACACACACACATCCTTCTGGCACTTTCTTTCACCAGCTGTGATGCTAAACTAACACTGCAGACTGTTCAAGGTTCTGTTTGAAAAATGCCTCAGCTACTCTGCACTACTTTATTATTTTCATGTAAAATTAACCATTACAG